ACCATCAGCGGAGTCATCAACCCCGACCTTGACCCGTGAAAGACGTCATCCTCGACCCCAAGGGATCGCCGCCGACGGCTTCTCTGCTGCGTCTTGCTGGTCTGCACGCCTCTTGCTGGTTCGACCTGACTCCTTGGCTGGACTGCGTCTCATATCTGCTTCTTCCCATCATCCCGTGGTAAAGTGAAATGTAAAAGTGAAGGAGAAATTCGAGCAAGAGGGCCACCTCATGAGACCAGTCACCGACAAACTGGCCTTGCTGTAGGCTGCGCCCAGTCCACGATCGTGACGCACTTGGCTGCGCCCAGTCCACGATCGTGACGCACCTGGCTGCAATCGGCAAGAAGAGCAAGTTGGATCAGTGGGTACCCCAAGATCCGACGGACCGCGACCGCGAATCCGTGCTGAGGTGTGCACTTCGTTGCTGTCGTACGAGCGCACAAACGACTGGCTGGATTCCATAGTCACTGGAGACGAAAAGTGGATGCCGTACGACAACTACCGACACAGGCGCCAGTGGGTCGATGCCGATGCCCACCCAGAGCCTGAGCCGAAAGGTGACCTGCATCCCCGAAAAGTCATTTGCATTTGGTGGGACGTGCAAGGCGTGATCGACTTAGAGCTGCTCCCACCTGATACCATCATACACCGCAGTAGTAGACGGCAGTGTATGATACCATCATACACCGCCGTCTACTACTGCGATCGGCTGCAGAAACTCACCGACAAACTCCGCACGGTGAGGCCAGGGCACCGTTGTGTTCGATTACTGCACGACAACGCAAGGCCGCATGTCGCGAAGATCAAACGGCAGAAATTGCTAGATCTGGGAACTCTTTTCGAGAGGTCAGTGGTTGTTCTAATCAAGCTATATGCTGTCCTTCGCCATCCCATTTTTTTTCTCACAGATGATATCGATGACTTTGCTTCCTTCATCCCAAGTGTCCTCAGAGCTGTACGAAGCGCTTGAAAGGTGGCGGGTCCGGGGTTTGCCAAGGACGAGGAGGCTCTCCATTCGTACAAAACCTTATATGTCTTCGCCATTGGGTCTAAATTCATACTCTCTATACTATATAGCACATCTTCCACAATCCCCAGCTGTTGCCACAACGTCTTTTTTCCGTCCCGTGTCTCCTGGAGTATGTCTGCAATCTTCCAAAGATCGTTGTCATCGGGCCGCCTTCAAGGATGCAAATAATTGACTTTGGTAAGCTCAACGTGGACATACGTGGACAGTTTCCTGAACGCATGCTTTGCGATATTATATGACAACTTGAAAACGCACTCTACCCGGAAATACAAATGGAAAATACTATTTTTTTTGCTAATGAGATGTGGATTTTTAAAGTTCCTTCTCGTTCAAAGGCCCTTCCCAGGCATCCCTCAGTGGACTTGAGAGGGATTGCCACTCTCCATCTCTCCCTTTCCCTATACAGCAGAGGCTTTCAATATGTAAACATTGATGACAAAGACAGCATACGTACCTACGATCGCTAATGTAATATTTTATGACACGCCGAGCTGTGGAAAACTTCCACGAACTCTCGGGCAAGAACTCCTGGGTTCATTCGCGGGCCTCGTAGGGGTGAGATCTTCACCTTACATTCATCGGAATCCCGATCCCTTTATTGGTCAGTACTTTTTCCTATTGATCACAACCCTGCCCGCTTCGTCCGTAAAGTCCATTTCCATCACTTTTCATGCAGGCCTATGAGAGGTTGCCTATGCAAGCCTATGGTTACGACATGACGGGTGGCATCTTTGTGATCCAAGGATAACTTTTTTGTTCTATCCCACACATATGGGATCCCACCCCTTTCACACTTGGGAGTTACTCTCCTTCGCGCGGAGGAACACGGGACTCCAAGTGTTGTGCTTGGGTTTACCCGTGTGAATGTCGAGGTGCTAACATCCCTTAGTTGGGGGGGGGGTTGCGCAAGGCGTACAATAACTCTTTCCCATTCTCAAGAACAGATCTAACAGTTGCAAAGGCCGGATAGAACATTCCAGCTCGAGAGCTTCAACAGGGCACTCCAACCTCCGAGAAGTCTTCCTTAAACTGTTTCTCGGGATTCCCAGAGCTCAACGATAAAAGCAGCAGCCCCTCCATCCCGTTCTCGAGAATGACCTGTGGAAGACTTCCACGAACTTGCTGTCGGTAAAGGCCAGGGTTGTCAAACTGCCGACCAGCCATTTCCTTTCGTCCTGGCTGCAAAGTCCTCTTCAACAGTTGCTTTTGGAGAAGTATAGACATTTTCAACCAGTTAGCCGTTGAAAATTTCGTGTATGATTTGTTAATTTGGACCCAGCCACCCCTAAAGGGTACCATTCGGTTGTTAGCTTAATCAAGTTTGACCTTTCTAGCCTAGACTAAGTGAGTAACGTAATTATGGCCGCCCAAAGGAATTTTGAGGCCTGGGGCAATATTAGCGTAAGGCCCCTTTCCACTCCCCTGCCTCTCTTCAAACAGACTCAGTCAACTCTTCATTGCTCACGAACTCTACGCTACTAACCAATAATACGTATATCATCCGGTGTGACCCCCTCAGCCACAAGACACGTGGCATATTCCCCTTTTGCCTCCCCCCCCCCTCTCTACGGTCCTGAATATAGTCAGGAATACACGAGCTCAGTCAGCATTTGATCACTACGCGGCAGCCGCTCTCTCTCCCGTTCTCGAAGACGAATCCAACAGTCACGAGGACTCGAAAGAACCTGCTCGCTTAATCGCTTAAGAGCGAGACGGAGATGCCAACCCATGGAAGATATCCACGAATTTCGGGTCGGCCCAGACTAAGCGTGTAACATTTTCGGATACTCACGAGTTCAATTGGCGGACCTGTCAATATTCTGCGCAGCGACCGCTCGGACATTGTACGTCTTGCACATCCCCCCCTCTCCCAAGGGGGTATTCACGCCTATGATACGGACTTTTAATGAGTGGCAGTCGTATCCAGTATCGATCGCGATCCTGTCCGTGAAGTCCATCTCCAGCACTACTCATTAAGGCCTGCGAGTGAAGAACACGGACAGAGAAGTTGGTTGGTTCCGGCTGACGTCGCCTTTAGTTCAGTTGCAGAACTCTTGGGTGTTTTTCATTGAATTCAGTAAGAATTGATCGAGTTGAAGGACCTGACTTTCCAGATATCAAAACCAATGTCATCCACTTGTCTTTTAATTTATCAGCCATCACTTACATGGAAAGAAAGAACCAAGAAATAATATAATGCAACTGTGAAAGCCCTCATATTGCGCGTATTTTGCTCTACCATGTATATTCATTCACGGGAATGGCTCAATTGCTATGGCACGACTCGTAGAATATTTTAGCTGCACGCAATAATCCAAATGATCACCATCGGATCACAACAGTATGGATATATGCGTATATGGTAAAAGGAAAAACGCACGTACCCGTACTGTTGTAGAAAAAGAAAAAAGGAAGACCAATGTGTCAAAGAAGGTGTTTTACGAATCATACATTTCTTACGTCCTTCATTTACGGAATTGGTCGCCATATTATGTATATTTGAATACTTTGAATGTCGGAACCGATCTAATGAAATTGATCAACTGTACACTCTGCTTCGTGGGACTATAGGGTTTGTCACTAATGTCATTTCGGAGACCGTAAGTGATGGCCACTTCTGAAACTCCCCGTATTCCCTAATTTGACAAATTCGCACCAGGTTTAGCTATCCAAATTATTTAGACCGAAAAAAAAAACCTATTTAGATACTACACACGCTATCATGTCACAATGGGTTAGTTAAGTATTTCAAGTTTAAGGCTGGAGCAAACACTTCGAAATTTGGCCACTATCTTCACTCCCAATCAAGGACAAAAGGGCCAAAACGGAATCAGTTCGTCGAACGCATCAAATTGATGAATGCTGAAAATTTATGTGCGTGATTACTTAAAGTTAAAACAAATCTGATGTATGTCGCTCCAATGATACATACGTTCCATGAAACACATTTTCGGCATTTATGAGTGATGGATTGGAAATGGCAGGCTTGTGTGGCGGGCTGTGGGAGGTCGGAGATGATGGCAGTTAAATCGTGTCCTCGTAGAGGAATTGTGGAGTCGGCATCTGGTCGGAACGAAACAAGTCTTATGGAAGGCCTGGTGGCATTGCCTGTTTTCCAGCAGTCATTGCATTGGCTGTAGACATCATAAGGGGGTCATTCATTGATGTTAGTGAGAAAATAACTTTCTGCAGTTGTGACAATACGTGTTATTCTCGTGGTCTTCGTCCATGTGCCGTCTGCCATGGTCGCAACCGAGAAACATTTTTATGGTCCTTTAGAGACATCTCATTTCGGCTGCCTGATTTTGGCAGGTGTGACGCTTGGAGTGGCCGGGCAACTATTACTCTTTCACATGGGATACCAAGCATCAGTTCTCCTGAGTCATTTGCGTTGCCTCAAGCATGAAACTCCAGGTGGCACTACATGTTGATAGTGACTCATCCCTACTCAGATATGAACTAAGCCAGACGCTGAGCGGATAAAATTTGAGGGATGGATGGTGGAGGGTGCTGAGAAAAGGAGTTAGTGATGCCACCACTTTTTCAGTAGCTGGAAGAAAAAGAAGATTATTTGTTCATTTGGATTTTTGGGGCTCTCCTTGACTTCTATGGTTAAGGATTGGCCCTTGGCCGCGTCGAAGTGGGTTTATACTTAAATATAATTTTTTCTATTGACAATACATACGGCGGGCTAAGCTCTCCAGCCTAACTGTACTGGGTACTAAACCATCATTTGGACATTTTTATCCTTAATAAATGCGTTCGCGATGCTTGTCAGTTTGGGTCGAGTCCAGATGGCTGAAACATGGAGACTTGCACTTGTGCCTTTGATGTCCCCTGATACCTAAGTCAGAATGTGCATGTTCTTGAAGGTTTTCATGCCTCTATATATTATTATCATATTTGCACTATGAATTCCCAATGCATTAACCATAGTGATTGAGAAGTCCACCACCCTGTCATGAAAGAACGCAGCTGTTTTTTATTCATTTCACTTCAGCACTTCAGCACTTCAGCACATTGTTCACATGAAGGAGGAATGTGCCTATCCTCCTTGTTGCCTCTATCATGCGGCAAAGCCTTCCGGTCATGCGCTTCTTTACGGTGATGATAAAAATCCTTCCTGGAAAATTGATGTCCACATTGCCTGCAATTCACCCGTTTGTTTGGTTCTGTCTTCAAGAAACAGAAACAAAAATCTTTTATTCCTTTCAGTATCTTGCGCTTGGGGAAATAAAGCGAAATCGAATGCTCATCGCGCATGCTAATCAAGTGCACGAAAAATCATATCACTTGCAGGCTCCTTCAACTCCATTCATAAATAACTGGACAGCACATGCAACAATACGTAATATACTCAAGAGTATAGGGAATGATTATAGGGAATGACAAGAGTACAGGGAATGAAACCCACGGGATGAAAAGTCTCGTCTTCCATGAGAGAACTCCCCTGCGATGGTATTGCCTATCATTGAGTGTTATATACCATTTTGTAGCTTTTGTTTTCCTCTTCCAGAATCACTATTGGGTTTTTCATTTTCGTTTATTAATAGTTTTTTTTTAAGGTTGATGGAGCTTCAGGTCGACAAAAACGAACATCTCCGACATCTCCTTGTCTACGAGTTTAATCGTGGCTGTAATGCTACGCAAGCCGCTCGAAACATCAATGCCTTCTACGGACAAGGCTTTATTGCTGAAAGGACAGCTCGAAAATGGTTTGCCCGCTTCAAAGAAGGCGATTTCAGCCTGACTGACGCCCCTTGGTCAGGACGTCCAGTGGATTTTGATGAAGAGCACCTGGAAACTCTTCTCCAAGAGGACAACCTCCAAACAACACGAGAATTGACTGAGCAACTCGACTTTGCGCCACAGACAGTGCTCAATCACCTTAATGCAATGGGAAAAGTCCAGAAGTCCGGTGCATGGGTCCCTCATGAATTTAGCGACCTGACCAGAACCTAGTCAGGGCGATCACAAACTAGTTAATTGCGACTCACCCCCAATATTCCTGAGTGCGTTCCATGGTGTGCAGAAACTGTCTAGGAATAATGAAGAATTCCTAGAACCTGATAGGTATATTTGGAACGAGCTTATTTGCCCTCGGGAAACGAAACTCGATGTGGTCGTGCATTCTGTGCTCCATGGTCCGGATTAGTGATGAATATCAACTTATTTTCAAAATGGCAATAAACGTATTAAAAATTTGTCCCTCTCAAAATATTTGCCGAGAGAGAACGAACCGATATTTACCTCGAAATAATTGCTCTGATTATTTATTGTGTGCGTCACACCAAAGCTATTCATAATCTGCCCTGAGGGGTTATATCAATACTTGAAAAGTAGGATATGCGGTCAGCAATCCAAAAGGTACTTCTGCTCCAAGTTTCAACTTTCTTTAGATCTTTCTTTCATTCAATCAAGAAAATGCACCTTTTGCAAAAAAAATCCGGTCTCAGGGGTTTTACCTAAAAATTAATGTTTTTTGTTTTTTTTTATTACTGAAATCAGGTTTCGGAGAAACACATTCATACAAAGTTTCAGCCTTATTCAATTACTCTTTTGCTAATGAAAAAAATATCTTTGGAAAATCCAAAGCTCCAAAAACTGTGCCCTGAGGGAATGAACCTCAAGACTTCAAAATTGTTTAAATTCACCATCAACACAGGCGCAGATGCGTCAAATTTCACCTTTCTATTTCTGTGGAATTTGTAAGAACAAGAAACAAAATGTCTTGAAAACGTCACCAAAGATAGGCGCCCATGACATGGATCTAAAACTTGACATTTTTCCAAAACGCAGTCTCAATAGGCACATCTATGTCACGTTTCAGCTTTCCATGATTATCCGTTTGACTGAAGCAAAACAAAAATTTAAAAATATATCAGCTGGAAATTTATGCCACCAGGGCATTTACCTCCAAAGTGTGAATTTTTTCGAACTCAGCACCCCAATAGATGTTTATGTATCAGGTTTCTTTTTTTTTTATACCCCCCCCCCCAATTCGCCAGAGAAATTTTTTTTTAAAAACTCACCCACCAGATATATGCCCCCACGGCATGCATCTGAAACTTGACATTTTTTTTTAACTGAGCGTCTCAGAATTCCATGTAAAGTTTCAGCTTTTCATATTCATCTGTTTGACTGAAGCGAATATATATCATTGAAAATATCTCCCCCAAAGTTGGCGCCCCGGGGCAAGTAATTGCAGCCGGATTTTTTCTGAACTCTGCATCCCAAAAGGTGCATGTGCACCAAGTTTCAAATTTCTACCTTATCTAGAAAATGGTTAGAATTAGCATTAGTCAGTCACCCACTCAGTCACGATTTTCTATATATAAATTAATAGCGAGTTTGTTTGCCCTTCGTGCAAATAAACTCACTATGGTCGTGCCTTTGGCGCTCCATTGTTCAGCTTAGTGATTCATTTATTTATTTTCAAAGTGGCGAAAATATTAAAAGTAGGCGCCCGTCGAAATGTGTTCTGAGAAAGAACGAACGGAAATTTTCATTAAAATAATTACTTTGATTATTTCTTGCTTGCCTAAGTGCAAATCTTAACATAATTTGCCCTTATTGGACATTTCATGATGTAATTTATAATTCTCACTTAACTGTTTTGGTAGTGAACTTTTTTAAAATGAAGTATACCTTTCACAAATATTTTTCTGTGGCTGAGGGTGATTTGGTTTTGCTCTGTGCTGCTTAATCCGTCCATTACCGAGGTTGTTAGTAATCAATTTTTACTGGAAAACTTTTTTTCATCACTTTTTACTTGAAGCAACCCAGCCCAAATTTGGATGTAAAAATTAGAACTTTTGTGATTGTAATAAACAAATCTAACTTTTTAGCAAACTGAGAAAGTGAATGTTATCGTTTTGCAAAATTTCTCTTCTAAAATTAGTTTGACATGAGGTACCGCCGTTGTGACAAATGATGCCTTAATAAAAAAAACGGCACGAACTTATTGGACAACTTATTGGACACGAACTTATTATTAGATGACACTCCAAGCGATTGGTTTGCTGTCATTGGTGGAGGTATTCAGAGACCTGTACATTTATTTCTTTCAGGAAAAAAGGGGAACCATCTATTTTAGACTAAAGCAACTTCTTTGTTGTCCCGATTATGAAATCGCATTATATCAGAAAAGTTGTTGTATTAATTTGTAAGGATTTTTGCTATGCCTTGTTGACGTTGATACATTTGGAAACAATTTATTTGCTCGAATGTGCGATTTCGCCGAAATGATTTTTTTTGGCTAGTAGGCCTGGATATCTCTTTGTTTACTGTCTATCTACTGTCTGGGCTTGTCCCATGTACTTCTTTTACCTTTCGGGCATCAGCAATAAAAACAAATTTCCTTTCCTATTCCCTTTTGATGGTGTTATCAGATATCTTTGTTCAGCGTATGGATTTTGTTGGGATGGATATGATGTTAAAGGAAATGAAGTGCTGGAGAGATGTCGAAGGAGAAGAAATAAGGGTGTGACTTACTTCCAAGAAGCATCCAATTTCATCTAGCTTGGAGAGCACTTTTTCCTCGATGGCAGTTTGTGGGATTTCCACCTCATCTATACGTCCCACTTCTTTCATTGTGCGCCAGACTTGCAGATGATCTGGCAAGCAGTCGATGATGAAAAGCATCGTTCGGGCTCTGGAAATGCTCTCTAGAAGCCAGGTATCTTCTACGTTCACTGTGAGAATGACACTGGACTCACACCCTCTGAATTTTCTAGGCTCAAAAAACTGAAAGTCTTCGGCTCTGCCTTCTACTTCAGATCGCCTGTCTCCCATTAGAGATGATTTGAGATAATCCTTCAACTTTACGTTTGACATCAGAACGAACACGGATTTTTCTTTCAACTGTGTCAACGTCAGTTCGGAATGGAAACAGATATATGCACCTATATACGGCATACAATGTTTCGACCCCCTGCACAAAAGACTGTTATGTTTTCCGGGGCAGTTGTATTTCAGGCTGATGTACTTGGGTTTGGGGCCTTCAACAAGGGCACTAGCACGCGACGCTGTGGGGAGGTTTCTGGCATTCTGTCGCAATGGGGTGTTGGTTTCATTCTCGAAGATGTGACTGAGCAGCCAGTTGCTTGTGCACCAGGGAAGTGGCCTCGATTCAGGAAGGATGAGCACTTCGACATTATTTTCCTTGAAAAAAGTTTCCAGTTCCTTTACTGAAATAAATCGTCCGGCTCGGGCATGGGACTTGAAGGTGATCGTTAGCGTAAGCCTTGAGTTATCGTTTTGCAAATTTTGTAGGACGGACCTCCAACAATTAATCTCTTCTTCTGTGTTCTTGCCTCGGATGTGATAATCGTCCACATGGACATGAATAGTTGAATCGTTTGAATACTTCCGCCTTGCCTCGTCAATCCGCTCATTGTCGATGATAAGATGGGGACACAATTCCTGTACTCGAACAATATCTAACACACCCACATGTCCCTCCACGTGTTCATGAATGAGCTCCTCCATCATTTGCTGACTCAACGCGCTCCCCATAAGAAACAACAGAATAAAATTATTATCTCGGCGTGGCTGAGCAAGATTCTTGATTTTTTCAAACAATAGCGTGCTCTTTCCAGAAGAAGGAGACCCAATGATGACAGTGAGATTTGATGGACTGCTATTATCACCAGGGTCGGAACGCACCTCTTGATTCATACGACCGGTGTAATTCACTTTAAGAGGTTGATAAATCGTGGGCATCTTGCATAAGCTCAGTAGATCCAATTGTTCTTTGGTTTTCCACCCACGTTCCAACTTGTCCTGCAAGCCTTCTTCGAACATCTTCCTTGCCGAGTCGGGCACTCTCTTTTCCTCTATCGATTGCTTCTGGCTTATTTGGGAATACTTTCCAGTTTGCCAGGCTTCATCCTCCATAACTATTATCACATGTTTGTGGCAGGAAGATATCATGCGGATGTAATTCTTCCATTTGCAATCGTTAACATCTAAGATGACGATGTTATCCGGATAATATCCGAGGATCTGATCATCCGTTACAATTACAAAGGAGGATGTGGATTCTCCGTGAAATCTCCCACGTGAATCTATGAATTTTACTTTTTCGTCATATACGTGGATGAGAAAATGTATGAGACGATCTCGTCTATCTTGACTGTCTACGATCACATAAACATTCGACTCATCCTTTATAGTATCCATGGTCATGATTGCTTGTATGGCCTGAGAACATCTTATAGCCTCACAAGTCAGTTCATTTTTGCATAACTCATGGGTGTTGCAACAAGAAGGAATGGGGAAAAAAGTTGGCAACAATTTTTTCTCAGATTGACCAAATTCCATGCCTTGAATGACAGGTTCTTGACAAACAAATATCCGACGCGAGTAATCGCCAAGAGCCAAGAATAACTCTGCTAAGCTTCGCGTGTTCCTTTTCACATCTTTCAGGACGTTTATTTGGGCTCCAGCGACACTGAGCTCTTGGAGATTTATGTCCGTAGTATAAGAGTCATCATACGGACGATATGCAATAGTAAGACTTCTGACATCGGCCTTGTACTTGGAGATTTCCGTCCACATCTTAGTTTGAAGGCTTAAGCTCCTCTTACTCTCCAGAGTAAGAGGAACTTCATCCAGCAGTACGTGATTCCTCTTTCCATATCTTTCGAGGAATCCAAATATTCCCTTGCAGTCTTCTTTAACTTTAATCTTCACCCCATCTTGTACGGATATGTTCCCCTGTCCTGAAAGAATTCATAAAAACCCAAATCCAGCACCCATTAAATCAAGACTATATACATATGTTTTAGTACATGCCAAATGCTCGCACAATGACAATAGAGTTACTTATTAACCCTCATACCCATGTAATGAAAGGTTATTTAAAGTTCTTGGTTCGTAAGAAAGGGCTAACCGCTCTACTCTCCACTCCTCCAAGATTGTTTGGAGACAGCAGTGTTCACAAAAACACACAAACGCGCCTGTACCGACATTTTATCTTAGAGTAGCAATTGTCCCATTGCCATTTGACACCTTCAGTGAAGAAGCGACATTAGCAGAGTTGCAGCATGCTTGAACAGTGCACGGCGAGCGGAGAAAAAGTGAAATGCCTTCATGTGAAAACCATTTCCCTTTACTCTCAGCCGATAAAATAACGTTGCCATAAGCCTTCAGTAACACTATCGATACGGGAGCTGTCATCATCGCATTTGCGAAATTTTGCCTTGATGTACATCATTGTGTACATTAATGTTCGTCACAAGTTTTTTTTTACCTTTCAATTATGGTCATAATAATTATTCGCACACATGTGTACAGTGGCTGCGACGTGTTTTCACATGCCGCAGTATACTGAATCTTACAACGATATAGGGTTTCTGTTTAGAGTGACGATAATGATTTCCGCTTAGGAGTTCCATGTTGGATTGAACCCCGTCCGAAATATTAAGGACAGTTATTGTCATCGCGCTTCCTGGGTAACCATTGTTAAATTGACAATGGGAGCCTGGCAATCCAATGCCTTCGTATGGAGCATGACCCAATTGTACTACATCTGAATTCAGTACGCTTGCTACTGACAAATGCTTATTTTTGGCACGTTCCCCAGATGATAGGCAGGGTGCAGAACAAAAGGTTATCCTACTTTTCTGTAAGCAATAGTTATGCACTTTACAAAAATATGTACTTCAACCAGTAATATTGATATTTTGAATACAAAGAAGTTTGTCCCAAGATTGAGCCTGGAAGGGGATGCTTCTATGAGTAATGCAGTGCGCACCTTCCTATAAGCTAAGAATATGGTCAAGAAAGTAAGACTGAAAGACTGCATTATTCGCTGCAGGAAAAAAATGGAAGAACAACTCAAGGAAAACAACACGAGTTCGGGGATCCGCCCAAAAGTAGGGATTTCCCGAAAACTGCTCATCCGACGACTACATATATATAGAGGAGCAGCTTCCAAAGTTTACCTATTTCGATTGAGCAAAAGAAACTCCAGAAAATGTACACACCCGATAAATAAGTCCCAAAGGGATTTTCCCTCAAGTAGGATTTTTTCAGACCTTAGCTTCCCAACTACAGGGCGTTAAGAAAGTTGTGTCCCATTGCAATATGCCTAAAGTCTCAGAAAAAAAAACAATATCAGGAAAAAATGTTATGTACAATAACAAGGACACTTACCTGATCTAGAATCACTTAATAGTTTTCAATATAGCCGCCCTTGGCACGGATGGCAAGATTCAGATGACCCATGGAAGCATCGACTGATTTTCGCAAGTCTTCCTGTGGAATTGTCGTTCCCATTCTCGGTTCAGGGATAGCTTGAGAGAATCCAAAGAACGGTGTTTTGTAGCACACGCTTTGCTCTCCAAGATGAACTAAGTTGAAAATCTAAAGGGGTTGACATCGGGGAGTAAGGGTGCCTTTCCGAAGTCGGAATGGAGTAGGGGACATTTGTCCGCAGCCACTCCTGGGTCATCCACGCCTTGTGAGCTGGGGCTGAGTCCTGCTGCAAGACCCAGTTGCCACCATTGAATGATCCGTGGCCCACGGAACCGCTGCAGTCTTCCTGGATGCTTTTCCGGTATACGAGGTGCTATCCAAAAGTTCCCGAAATTTGAATGTCCCGCGCGAACCGGTTATATTGATAGTACGGCGCTCTGCCGCTAGATACTGTTTGCTACACTCCTGAGAGTCAGTCTACAAGTTATCGTCGTCGTTGGATATCGCGTTAGTTTACACAGTGCTTGTTTGTAACCGTGTGTTTGCAGTGTTTTGCGATTTCGAAATGAGTGAAGTGAAAGAGCAAAGAGTGTGCATTAAATTTTGCTTCAAACTCGGCAAAACGGCAGTTGAAACTCACCAAATGTTGAGGAAAGCTTTTGTTGATGAAGCAATGGGTCAAACGCAAACCGACGAATGTTTTAAGTGATTCAAAAACAGTCGCACATCCGAAGATGATGAACGTTCCGGACGTCCTTCATGTGCCAAAAATGATGAAAATGTTGCCTTGGTTTGGGAAAAAATCCATGAAGACCGACGACAGACCATTCACGATGTTTGTGAGGCTCTTGGATTGTCGTATGGGACATGTCAACGAATTTTGTCCCATGAGCTGGGTATGCGTCGAATTTCAGAAAAATTCTATTTTTTGCGATGCGATTTTTGGCTTCCACGAACACAACGGTCGTTCCCCACCCTCCCTACTCGCCCCCTGTGATTTTTTCTTGTTCCCGAAAAAGAAGTTAAAGCTCAAGGGGAAGAGATTCAACACGATAGAGGAGATCCAAACCACATCGCAGGATGTGTTGAAGGCACTGAAAAAAGATGAATTTAAGCGGTGTTTCCGAGCATTAAAATCTCGCTGGGACCATTGCATTCATGCTGGTGGGGACTATTTTGAAGGTGATGAAGACCACTAATTTTTTCTGTAAGTTGCTATTTTTTAATAAATAAATTTCGGGAACTTTTGGGTAGCACCTCGTATATCAGAGTTGACATTCGGCACGAAAACGAGCAGAGTGCGTCCAGAAGCCGTAATCTCGGTCCAGACCATTACAGAAGCCGCCCCTTGACGCCGAGTGGCTTGAAAATTTTCAGATTTCGATTTTTCTACTTGGTCCATCTTGAAAAGCCAAATGTGTGCTACAAAACACCGTTCTTTAGGATCTCTCAAGCTATCTCTGAACCGAGAATGGGAACGACAATTCCACCGGAAGACTTGCGAAAATCAGTTGATGCGTTCATTGGTCGTCTGAACCTTGTCATCCGTGCTAAGGGCAGCTATATTGAAAAATATTAAGTGATTCTAAATCAGTCAAGTGTTCTTGTTATTGTATATAAAAAATGTTTCCTGATTTGTTTTTTTTTTGTTGCTGAGGTTATTGGCATATTGTGATGGGACACAACTTTTTTAACACCCTGTACTTCTAACTTTCAGTTTCCTCAGTATATTCACTAGAAAAATATAATTTCATAAAGAATGTTAAGTCAGAATAAATGTACCATGAGACCTATTCCCCTAAATAACACTTTTTTTTCTGAAATCATGGCTAATCTCAATATTGTCCTCGGGCCTTAGCATACATCAGCGTCATCGCGGACATTACCACCCTGATGTTCCATGGTGCCTCGCTCCTGAATCGCAGTCATGTTATACCCCGATAGAACGGACGGGGATCCTCGTTCGACGGGCGATTTCTGCAGTACAGCTATAACTCAGACTCCAATAGTGTTAGATTATTGATCGATTCGTCGACAAAGGGTTAGCACTCGAATCATACGCCATTTCCAGCAGACTAAGCGACCCTTTAAAGGGTTGTCTTTCTCGATCTTCCAGAAAGTTTTGTGAAAATCCCTCTTGAAACATCGGGAAATATACTCATACTAGCAGAGGTACCCAGCGTTGCACAGGTGAATATTGTATACTGTAGGTCCCATATTTGTCTGCACTAATTAAGGTACCCGGGGGCAGGGCCCTGAGAACTGAGGTACCTTGAATATCTCAAAGTACTCAGGGGCTCAACAGTTACCACCATGGAATGGGAACTTTACCTTTCCGCATGCTATGAGGTTCTCAGGAAGTTGCAAAGACAATGCACACTTCGCTCTGGACTTAATAGAGATCGTCTTGAAAATTCATTAAGAAAATATGCAAAATATGTGCTCGCTTCATAAATCACATAATCGACAACGGGGAAATGGACGTTGCCTGTCACATACCTTTAAAGTAATCTTTGAAGTCGACAGTGAGGTCTCCACCGGGAAGATTCAACACTGTAACAACTTCATCAGGGTACTTCTTCGCGAGCCGCTTTGCTCTCTCTTTCAATACTAGGGTCTTTCCCGTACCCGACCCTCCCGCAATAAGAAGAAGCCATGACGATTCTTCATCCTCTTCAATGAGTCTCTTCTGTTCCGGAGTCAAGATGAACATCGTCTTCTCCATTTGGCCATCGCTGACTTGTATAACTTCTCGATCAGTCCGTAGCATAGGTATAGAAGAGGCAGCACATATATAGAGGGAATTAATTTCCACGAACACATTTTTTGCTATTGTAGAACATTCGGTAAGTGAGGGTAGTTCCGCTACACCATTCCTTTGGAGAAATCTCCGCAGAGCATCTGGAGTCCAGAGATCATCTATCGTCAAGACCTTCTGCGGACATGATGCACATCTTAGAATATTGTTCAAAGCATCTCTACTCATGAAAGGAAAGCATGGAAAGGCGACGATTATCGCTGGAGAACCCAGGAACGGTCCACACATCGTCGTAAACACTTTTCTGTCTTTGTCACATTCACAGATGGCTACATTAACATTGTCTTTGACTGTTTGCTCATTATCTGACAAGGATGTCTTTCTAATGTGGAAGAAAATGTTGTAAACCTTGTTTCCAGCCGGGTAAGACAAAAAACTTCCGTGAGCACCGCTATCAAGTTCAGGAAATGGACGCTCTCTTCTTAGTTGTGGATTTTTGGCAAGGGCACGATTATATGCCTCGCATTTGTTGAATGTATCAGGGAACTTGTAGTCGGAAACCAATAGAGACGGATTAATGCCACAAATATCTTTAAGACGCTTGAAAACCTTGGCTTTGGCTGCATGGTAAGGTACAAGTTTCGATAGTTCGTCTTCTTCCTCATTGTGCTCGTGCGCTGCGTTTGTATCAACCAGGTCCTTGAAGACCTCTTCTTCAAGAAGAATCAGGGCTGGGAGTGAATAATGAGTTTTCCCTGCCTCTGGGTAGTACCGTTTAATATATTCTTCAGATGCGTCCTTGAGAGATAATTTTGTGTCATCTCCCATGCACACCTTTGGGAAAATAGGTATGAATAAGCGCAAACAAGAACGCAATATCAGACAGAGTGTATTATGACCAATTCACCAGAATGCTAAATAAATTATCAGACTTCCATCATAATGTGTCTGAAAATATGCCAGTGAAGGTGTTAAAGCTCCATGAAAATATATATAAAGTAGTTTTCTACCAAGAACATAGAAAAAAATTCATTTAAAATCACAGCCAAAATGTTTACTCGGAGGGGGTGTAGAAGAAAATTGGCTTGGCTGATTTCTTCCTAAAAGGAACATACCCAGTAACATATCCGTCAAGTTCCATTTCTCTTTACATGCTCGATTTGCTGCAGATTGAAACTCCTGGAAAACGTATTAACTAAAAAATATGTCTGGAGGGGATGCACCTCAAGAGGATGTAGTGGTACATCCCCTCTAAAGGATATGTCAAAACTCCAATTTACTTATTCGCTCACTCTAGCTCTGTGGTTGGTAACTATTTGACTTCTTTTAAATACGCTACAAGTTTACTGATTGAACCTGCTTCCAGATGAAAATTCTCTTAATGCCACAATTTCATTTAGGCTGACGATTTCCGGAAATTGAAGTAGGTATTTCCGAACCAGTGTGCTCTGATTGATATATGATAGTTTGACTCTAAACCGCTACAATACTTTTCTTGCGTTTATATAACAATTTTGAACATTATTCCGCCATTTGACCGGAACGATTTTCAAGTCAAGGTTAAGGTGGCAAACCTCCATTTAGGCAACTTTTTCCAATCTATTCCTTCCCAGAAATCAAACTGACTATGTGAAAGTTGACATGGAAAATATTGCGTTCATTGAGTTAATTTCCATAATTTATGCTAATGAGGTCCATTATGGTGGCCAGGGCAAAAAGCAAATATTTTTTTTTTCAAACAGTATTTATTGAAGATGGTTCACATATACGACGTATTTCATGGAATGTGCAAGTGTTATAGTTCAAATCCTTAGAAATGTCCTTGGGGAAACAGTTTTTCAAGAAGTAGGTGCAATTTTTCACTAATTAATTTTTTAGATTTTTAACGATTTTTGTGGCCTAATTACATATTCAATGGTATTAAAAAGTACTAAAGGATTGGGTAAGTGAAAAACGCTACCGTTATTGCTTGGAGGAATGTTCAAGGTAGCTCTCAGCCAAAAATTAAGGATATGAGGGCATTACACTAGAAGTTACGATGTTCAGAGCAGCGTTTGTCAGCTACAAAAAGCTGTAACTAGAAAATCGCGATGCCAGGGACAACAGGTTAGTCACATTAATAACAAATTAAGCTAATTAACCATTATTTACATATATTCAGCTTTTATGGCGATATTATGAATCTGCACAAGTTGAAGTATATAATTATACTTCCACTCGTGCAGATTCATAATATATTTCCATAATATAATCATCATTAATTTGATTATAATCAAATTTTATTGGAAACTTTCTTTCCTCAAAAATGACGATTCTGAAAAATTACAAAGTAGGTTTGCTTCCTTAACAAGGATGACAGCAAGCAATGATTTCGTATTCATTCTGAATACGAAATTCATTGCTTGTCATCTGTCTTACGACTGAACGTTTTGTAATTCCACTCACAGTAAGAGAGTGCCGGATGTCGAAACTGTCGTCACGTTTGCATTCGGATGGAGTAGTTACTTGATCGAGTGTTCTGAAAAAGTCACACTTGCATACACCCTACAGAAAGAGAGAAATAATAATCTCAACAATAGGCATGAAACCCCTCCCCACCCACCTCTTGCAAAAGAGGGCCTAAAAGCCTACCTCGGAACTATGGACATATCACCCCATACAAAGTGCGGAATTCAAACACAGCAATACAAATCGAATAACACACCTTTGACAAGAATATCATGCCAAATGAGCAAAATAGATTATGTGTAAAGGTACACACAGTAGCAAAGAGCAACTTTTGCTGCACCACATGATCCTGGGCCATGCCGGAAACAGGAAAAAGGCCCTCTCTTTAACATTGATCGACTACGAGAAGACTTATGATTCAACAAGCAAGCTGGCTTGCCTTTTGGGCCAACATTGGGCTCGATATGGCCGAGCCTTCGGAGTTCTATTATCGCCTTTCGACGGGCGATTTCGACAGCACAACGATGACACAGATTCTAATAATGTAAGATCGGTTTGTCGACTTGCGGTTAGCACTCAGATCATTCGCAATTTTCCAGTGGACTCAATAAGCCTCCTACAGGGTTGTCTTGCTCGCTACAAAATGTGTGCCACTCCTAAACCTTCTAAAAAGTTATTGTATAAGGTGTTCATTTTACCAGTTAACTAAAAATAATGTTAATTAAGAAAGAAACAATAAATCAGATATCCATGAAATTTTTCAATATGAGAAGCAATGCCTTTAGATGTGTGAAATGACAAATACAATCGCAGTCACAGTTACAATACGACCCAACACATGTTGGAAATGGCCACCGCCATGTACAATGCACAACATTCAGTCAGCAGCCTGTGTGCAGCAACATGATTTGCCATGTACTTTTGTGCATTAGGCATGGAGTTGGAAACTGTCAACACATGTAATGAAGTGCTGTGGTGTAACTGTGACCGTGATTGTCCATTTGCACTTCATAATGTAATGATTATTGATTCTAATATTACTAAATTTCATGTGCATATGAATTATAACTCTTCCTTTATTAGCATTTGTTAGGGTTAACTGGTAAAATAACCACAGTCAAATCACTCTCGAAACTTCGGGGATATACTTCTGGAGAGTTCCTGTTTTTAATGGTAATTTTTTTGCACTCCAATGTACGAGAGGTGTTTACAAAGTTCTGGGAATTTGCGTGCCAATTTTTATTAGGCTAATTTTCTTCGATATTACAGTGCAATTTTTCAACATAGTCACCATTTAGCTGTATACGTTTGTGCCAGCGAGTAACAATTTGATTAGTCCATCTTCAAAGAACTTTCGTGGAGTACGTTCTTTCGAATCATTCATGACTGCTTTAACTTCCGATAGAGACTCAAAATGGATTCCTCGAAGTGGTTTCTTTATTGTCCCAAACAGATGAAAGGCGCTGGGAGCCAGGTCTGGAGAATAAGGTGGGCGTGGCTGCAATTCATAGCGCAGATCTGACAAAATGGCCTTTGTAAGATGAGGAGTGTCGGCCCTCGCATTGTCTTGCTGCAGTAATGGTCTGGAATGGTCGGTCGGAAGCTGGCTTCCGACCGACTCGTAGAACCTGCGACCAGGTACTCGTGCTGACCACCTTTATTGAGGCTGGCTTCCAGCGCAAACTCACAACTGGAGTCGCTTTCATCGACCTCTCCGCCGCTTACGACACTGATTGGCGCGAAGGTCTGCTTTTGAAAGTGTCTAACATTGTCAGGTGCAAACAAACACTACGTCTACTATCCTCCATGTTAACCAACCGGAGGTTTCGTGTCCATTTGGGGAGCACGATAAGCAGGGCTCGACTATTAAACAACGGCCTACCCCAAGGCTCAGTCCTTGCCCCAACCCTTTTCAATATATATATTAGTGGCATCCCTACCACTGAGTCACGCAAGTTTGGGTACGCTGATGACCTCGCACTTGCAGTTCAATCCGTACACCCCACCAAAATCAAAGACGCACTCACAAAGGACTTACAGGAGCTCGAACGATTCTTTAAATACTGGCACCTCCTTCCTAACCCCAGTAAAACAGTCGTAAGTGCCTTCCACTTGAACAACCACCGCATAGATAATCAATCATGATTATTCCCTGGCAATCCGAAAGCACCGTTATCATAACCTTACGAACAACCGTTTTTACAGCATCGTCCTCGCTTCAAGCGGAGGGCCATCAGAAGGCCGTCGCCATTCCATGGACTGAATTGTTGTTTGTGGATTAAAGTAAGGTATTCATGTCTCATCTGTCTTGATGATTCGTTGCCAGGAACTATCCCCATATTGTTCCTGTAGAGCCAACAACTCGGAACCTTGCACCAACAGTCGCGGTACCCATTGTCGAGAAACCTTGCTCACTCCAAGATGGTCATGTAAAATTGCATGAACTTTTCTGTAACTGATGCATACACTTGCAGCAATCTCGCGAATGGTGATTCTTCTGTCTTCCATTAACATTTTCTCCACAACGACGACATTTTATTCGTTAACAACTGTGTTTGGTCGACCACTGCGGCGGTCGTCTGCAAGGCTCGTTCTTCCATTCTTAAAGCGATCGATACAGCGATAGACCGTACTTATAGATTCAGAAGATTCACCAACAACAGCTTTCAAACGTTGAATAATTTCAGACGTCCAAACACCTTCCTTTCATTAAAAAAGATGATAGCTCTTTGAGAATTTACTGCGTCTGCCATGACTGACAAAGTGTACCATACGCGAACACTGACAACTTATTACTGACGCAAGCCCAGTGAATAATATTTGACAGTCGTGTTCATGACAAGCCTAAGCATGTTTGACAAACTTTGCGATAGGCTTTGATCAGCCATTGCAGAGATAGACCCAAATTCCAGGAACTTTGTAAACACCCCTCGTATATGACAGATTCTATTCCATTCATACATTTCGTTTTAGATAAAATGCTTCCGAACCACTTTTCCACCTGAATTCGGCCAAAACTCCAGAATACAGCTTGGCGAAGCTGCAACACTTACATGAGGTCAAGGTTTAGGCACAAATGATGGAGATGTTGCACTCGCTTTAAAGTTACGACCTCCACGGCATCAGAAATAGGTTTTGAGCAATGAAAGAAGGTCTTGACTAATCGAATATCCTTGCTAGTTTTGAATCTTGGCTTTAGTTCCTGACTGATGTCCTAATTTGCAACATATATGTAATTTTATTCGGTACGGAGGACAACAAAGGCGTCAAATATTGTTACAATTACTCAGGAGAACTGGTCTGGTGCTGAAATTGAGTTTTCTGAACACGAAGCAGCAGTTGTGTACCATCCCGCAAAATCTGATGGACATGAGCTCACCATCCTAAAAATGTTAATAAGAGGACAAAAGAGAAAGCCAACACCCCAGTCGTAAGTATACATTGGCGGTGTTATCCAATACTCACACAACTCTCCTGAACATTCTTCCCCAAATTACGAGATGGTCGCTCTCCATGCTTAAAAAAGTATTAATCATTACTAAATATTTTAAATCTTAAAGTGCTTCAAAAGAGGGTGCGAGCACTATCCAGAATGAATATGACTGAGATTTTTTCTCGTGGATTCACAGAGATTGAAAGTAAATCAAGAGAATTACCTACAGTTCTTAGAGAATAATTTCTCTCAATGCAAATAGTTCGACCCAAGTCATGACAATTTTCATGCAAGATAGTGCTCCTTCACATCGTACCAAACGTGGGCACGAGAACTTAAAGAATAACACTCCTGACTTCATTGAGAAAATCAGTGGCCTTCCAATTCTCCAGACTTAAACCCCCTTGACTACAGCAATGGGACGAATTGACGGAGCCAGTTTATGCTGAATGAAACACCCCCTTTTACATTACTTGCTGAACTGAAGGCTTCAATTGAGGAATTGTGACCTATTTTCTATGAAAACACAATAAGAAAGCGAATCAGTCAATGGAAACAGCGTCTGCGAGCATTTGTGGACCAGAATGGAAGCCCGTTGAAACATCTCTTCATTGAGGGCAGTCGCACATCTTTACACACTCGCCCTTTTGATTTCGCTCGGGAGAAAAACTGCTACTCAGGAATTTAACAACAAAATACATTGAAATTGTTGTGGCATTACCGGCACACATTGGTTGTGAAACCCTGCAAATTTCCTGTTGATATCTCATGTGGTATTCTGTCGGCCGGCGTTTAAAGTTCGGAACTTTTGGGGGGGGGGGGGCACCCAGGTATTTCGAAGGATGTCAGAACTAATTTAATCGCTTCCTCTTAAAAGAGAGAACATTGTCATTCAAGGGTTTCATAGTTTCATCCAATCAACATGGGAAAATCAGAGAAAGACGAACATTTTCATGAACTTCTCCATTTCAAACTATCAACTCTTACTCTCTAATGGCATTGAATGACATTTCTATATGAGGTCTTTAATGAAGACTGCGCACCTAACCAAAAGGCCCCATCGAGCACGTGATCTTTGGCACCTTTCGGGAGTTATTTAATGATATAATGATAGGCTTTCAATTGTCGAAAATATTAATAATGAGCCATAGCTCCTGTAGAAAGAATTGAATTGAATGCCAACCTTTTCGGATGGCCCTTTTGAAGAATGGGCGCCGTCAGATTTTGATGCTGGCTCTCTGGAATCCGTGCTGGCGAGGCTGAGGGAGTAAATACAAAGAATTTGGAAAAATAAATAAATTTCCTGAAATGAAAGCAAGAAACTCCCCTTTACACGCATGAGCAGCAATATGATTCAGCCACGTTTCTACATTTTCAAACAATTTTTTTATTACATGCAAGCCCACTTACATGCACACTTAAAGCTCCTTCTGTTTTCGTACAGTATAACCTTGAAGAAGAAAGTTTCCTTTAAAAAAATGGAAGTCAAACGTACAGAGATGTAGCCTGTCAATAGAGAAAATAAAAATTCAGGCTGACAGAAGTTATTGAGCGCATTCTATGTTATTTGAAATATTTAAAGCATGTAATAATAGCTGCTAGTATTTTAAGTGCATTAAAAACTCAACACTCATATATTTGGCGCACAATAATGCCGGTAAACTGATGAATATTATTATCTCGCAAACGTGCACATTTGGCAATCACAGCATTAAATTGAAGCGGGAAAACCTCAGAATTTCGAAGAATTTTATGTTCTCACAGAAATCAACAGCGACCTGAAGTTACTGCCATTTATTTGACATCACTGAAAATATTGGGATCAGTTACATTGCATTAATATGTTTCTTTCCTGAAAGTCCCCGAAAAACTTGTAACTTCCTATAGAAAGGTTGACACATTTCAGTAAGGCTTACAACTTACATCACGTGGCATCCGACGTCAGTAGCACAGTATGGCGATGCGCAATGCGTTGCCTAGTGCGCTTCCAACCGAGAAAAGCAAAAATGATATATATTTTACAATAGTTACATTGAAATCCGAGTGCGAAAGTGCCCTTTTCAGGAGGAACTGCAACAAATTATTACATGTTCTCTTGGGGGATGGAGGCAGTAGAGAGCTTTATGAGATATTATAAAGTTTTAATTTGCTAAAGAAATTATTCCCATGTAGCAACAAAGTAAATAATCCTATTTTTCAAGCACAACATCACTGGGACCACTTTTTTCTGCGATTTTCCTAAGATTTCCTTCCTCAAGCAGAATAGTTCCCATAATTACATTTCAAAACGCTATAATAGGAAAGAAAAAGGTAGAGGGAGGCGTTTGGTTGGAAGAAGCATATCGCTTCGCCTACAACCCGTCGAAAAATTATTTAAATCGGTTGCCGTTTCCTACTAGGGACACTGCATGAAGGAAGCTCATCTTGGGATGAGCCTTAAAAGGGAAATTTCTCTCAGTTTCTACAATTGAGGCCGAGTGCCTAAAAATGGGTAGATTGCCAGGAAGTACCTGCAATATGCTACTGTTTACGTGAAGCCCTAGAGGTATCTCTGGGGGAACGAGCAGATCTAAAAAAAAGTATTACTTTTACTCACGCCAACAAACGCCGAAGTCGCGAGTGTGCGTGCGTTTCTCTGCTCGAAGGTGAAAGATTGAGGAAGTAGAGTAATTGCAGAAAATCATAATACCTACCTGCAGTTTGGAGACATACTAAGCATTTTAATCTTCCTTGAGGAGTCTTTAGAGATTCTGCAAAGAGTGTTAGTCACGACTGTTCCACAGAATATGTGAAATGGTTGGTCAAATCCACATCTGCCTAATGCTTTGATTCAACTTTATTGCTTGAGATGTGGTCGGCTCGTATTATGTCAGTTCCTTTCTCGGACTTACGATGAGGGTACTTACGATGAGGAGGATGAACTTGCTGCATTGGAATCTGAAACGTCGGATGGCTCATGAGCCGCCTTGAATTTCTTCGAAGGTTGAGTGATTGCACTTCCATCTGAAATCGTGTCATCCTTCGATCCTTCTTCACCATCCACCTGCGCGTTCTTCCGTTCTAGCATGGAATACACGTCAATAAAGCTAATTTACCTTCTAACCTGTGTTCTTTAAATCAATCAAATCGAATTGGGTAAAACATGGGTTTTAAAAGGTAGTATTCAATAAATTAAATTAATTGAACTTCATTAATCATTACTATCTGGTCCAGTACCTGGTCAACAATTAAAAGTATGGCTGCCTATATGTGCAAATATTGTATTGATATTTGCTGGGGATTCAGACAAGAAGAATAATGCATAATTCGGAGATATTCATGTTTTGTTATATTTTAAGCCTCTTCACTGCCATTTCTAAAACATTCTCATGCGTGTCTCGTTGCACGTATGAAAATGATGAACCCCTTCCCTCTCATGCGCTAAAAGGCAACCAAGTCCTTCGGAGAAGGTGTTGATGGCGTCTTTATAACTAGTGGTAGGTAAACCTGCTGGAAACCGGAGGAAACGAAGTGCTCTGTTGTCATGGAAGGAGTCACTTTAATCTTCAGAGACTACCACCCCAGTAGGACCCGAACGTGTTTAAGCAACTTTCGTTGAACTCAGCGTTCCATTAACCCTTTGAGATTAATTAACCGTCTGAGATATCCCGTGTTCGCACGTTGCCTTGCTCTGACCCATGCCCCATATTTCATATTTTCTCGTTATTATCCCGCACCTATCGTGACACGTTCCCAGGCTCTGACGATACATTTCAAATCCTAGTTATGTAGGGTATTGTGGTAACTTCAATCAGCTTTCAGCTACAGTCTAGTAAACATGACTCGCCGGAAGCTATCAAAAGAAGTAATTGTTGAAGATTTGCTACATTCTGACTTAGATTTTGACTTGAATGATGATTCAGATGATGGCTTTTGTTTCCTGGGATTTTCTTAAGGTGTGGAATCATCCTTTGAGTCAAGTTGTAAGTGACAATGGAATATTCGCCGTTGCCTGCAGCTAAACAAAGACGGAATGGATTGCAGCATCATGAGTGGAAAAATGAAAATATTATTTACCTTATTATCACTTCATTCGACTCGACAAGTCCTGGCGTGAGACCAGACGCAAATATTAAGAAGAAATCGCTAGAACAATATTCTCCCTGTACTTTTTACGCCAAAACTGTGCGAAAAGTTGGTGCAGGAGACAAACCAATAGTACAAGGAGGTATCCCAGAAGATGAACTGGTCCCTAACTACCACTTCTGAGATCATGCTGTTTCGTACATTATGTATGCTAATCGGGCATTTGAGAGAAAGTTCAGTCCGCGACTACTCGAGCACCTACCAGAAACTGAAGACATTATTTCTTGGAAACACAAGAGTGTGTCAAGTGCGCATGGGTTCGAAGAAGAAGCAAGAAGCCCGTTAAATGCGTTAAATGTGTGAAACCAGTTACAAGCCCTATGCGTCCACGAGTGCAAAAGTCACGTCAGTGCAAAATTCGGATATGTTTGCAATTTTGGCATTTGTGGAACTCAGTTGGTAATGAACGTAGTAGAAAATACAGTAGATAATGCGATCCTGCATTGTATCTACTTTAATGAGAGTCCAAATACGCATTTTTAGATCGACCGGGACAAAAAATTTCTCTTTTACCAAAAAGGTCATTTTTCCTCTTGGAGGCTAAGTTTAGGGCTGCATATCTCGAAAACCTTAAGAGCCAGAGAGCAAACTTTTTAAAAGTATTTTCATAAGTCTTCAATGGCAACAAGAACAAATTTTCCCAAGCAAATCGGAGTCTCAAGCCCAGCGAATGTGACTAAAATTTGACCACTTCTGCTAAAACGCCTCAAAGGCGGTACGAATTCATTTGCAAAACATTGTATCATACTCAAGACGTAATTCTGGAACTGGAGATTAGGCAGTGATAAGTTCGGGCATTTTTCAACACACGCTTCCAAGAACATTCACTGCTCGTTGGTAGATCCCGAAAGAGGTTGTCCTTTTAACATTAACATAACTTTCCGGTGCTAGTTGGGTTGCTACACAGTCATAAAAATTGCTCTTTTAATGAATATTTGGGATTAAATAAATTGAGATAGGACTCACTTGAACCCCTCTGATGACTTTCAGTCACGTTTTCACTCGTCTGCCATTCTGAAATGGGAGTTTAAAAAATTTAGAGCAAAACGCGACATAGTGCACATTACGCAAGTCCACGCTTTAATTTTTTCTCAGAATGGCAAAAGGATCTGATTAAAAGCAGTTAACCAAATATATTCCAATCAACTTCCAATTAAATTCAAGTCTCCAAGATATGCCATGCAATTGTGGTGATGCGAAGAAATGAGCCAGACATTATTAGATTTCGTAACTGTCAACAAATTCGAACTCTGTTGGTGATTTTGGGTCTTCATGAAGAACCATGTTACATTTAGATTCAAACAGATTCAGACAGATAATAATAACAACCAGCGAAATATTTTTCAAAGATACTTCGATGAGTAGAAGTCCACTCCTTCATGCCCATAATTTAAAAATGAGGGCCGTGGGAAGTGGATGTTTGGGAATGATGAAGAAAACTCTAAATGCCCATCGATCACAATGCAGGCGAGTTGTATTTTCTCATTGAATTACTACGAGGGGGGTTCAAAAAGTTCTGCAACTCAACTTGTAAATTTCAAATGACTTGATTAATTGCAACAATTATATATTTAATCCTTCAAAGTATTCCCCCCAGCATCTATACATCGCTGCAGCCTCACCAGCCAATTCTGGAGAGCCCCACGGTACTGACATGCAGGGATAGATTTTAGAGCTGAATATAAGGCCAAGGACGAGGGTGGTTTAAACAGTTATGCAAATCATATTGCTGTTTGTAAAGAAGAATGTTAACAATTGAAGCGCCACCACCATTGAAAAGAATAGGCTTTGTTGTGTAGATAAGGCCCTAGAAGAACCTCTCGTATTCATTCAAAAGTAAACAAATATCGTACTCGGGCTCAGGACCTTGCTCAATCAATGAATTCTGCCCTAAAATCTATCCCTGCATGTGAGTACCGTGGGGCTCTCTTGCGCGCTGCCGCCTTTACTGTCAGCTGTAGCATGCATGCCCTACCGTTGGAGCGATTACGGGGTTCGCTGACGCCTGTTGTCGTTTCCTCACCCTAATTGTACTTACTTATGGACTGGCCCTCGTATATGTGCTACCATTATAAGACATGCGAAAATTAAGTAGTCCCAAGACGATAGCGAGACCGTAACAAACACAACATATATATAAATATGTAGTAATGTGAGGTCCACTTCAAAACCCTTCTCTATGGAGCAAGCTAACATTAGGCCTAGGCCTGACCAACAGACTGCCTTCAGGTCACGCCAAAGTCTACCTTTAAAAAATAAAAAAGATATTCCATTATTGATTTACAGGGTCAATTAGGCCTATGAGGATCGATCAGTGGTCTGAGACATTTCGTTAAGGACGTGTAACTTTAGGCCTATCGCAGGCCTATTCATACATTCACGAACTATTTCAGAGAGGACCTGTAACGTCAGACTGATTTGAGCCTCTTTCTTGTTTCGTAAACCATATCAGCGCGGAAGTGGAACGTTAGGCCTATCTGGAGTTCCTGGAACAATCTCCAATAGGTCTGAGGAAGGAATGCCTCTAATAAGCATGAAATCCATGATGCGCGCCTCCTTGTTGATTCAAAGATGTCCGGATGAGATATCTCCATATCCCACCACAGCGATCAATCACTGTTGACCGCCGCTTCATTCTCAGCTCAACTTATGAACTCAGCACAAAAATGTCTAACATAAAGAAACAGACGACGATTCCAAGGTTGAAGTCGTCTTGAATCAAGTATAATTTCGGCATGGTATCCGGCAACAAAGGAGGACGGTACTGGGCCAAGCACTCTAAGAGCAAGCAGTCTACTAAAACCGCTTTAAACCCCATTCTATGAAGAAAACCCTCAGGCTTTTCTAGAAGTGTTCCAAGACCTTCCACAATGCAATGCTAACCGAATGAAAACAATAAATTATATTCTCAAACTTATTCAATTGATGCGAACCAGCAAGATTAAGAGAGCGCAAGTTGCTCTTGGTTTGACCTGGGACAACTGAAACCGAAAATGATTCAATTTAGATATTTAAATTTCGTCACACTTGTGAGACATAAACATATAAAGGCCTATTAAAATTAATTTTTAGCTACACCTAGGACCATTCAAGAAGAATCGACGACAGTGCCATATGCGTGCTTTTGAAAATAACAACCAGTCCAGAAATAAATATGAGGGATGAAGTTGCCAACTTAAACGAATGCGGACTTCCTTCCCATAAGCCTCATCTTCCCTCTCCAGAGTGGCTAGTAATGCCTCTGCCAAGTCTCTGTACTTCGGTTTGAGGCACTCCAATAACGCTAAAAAGGCGTTATCCCCGGCACTGGATATCTTCTTGAGAAGGAACAACACCTGCTTCTTTTTCTTCTCCTTGGTCTTCTCCATCATATCGTGATATTCATCGTTCTTGATGATCTTTTTCTTCTTCAGGCATAAGAGAATCTCCTCAAGATCAGTGAATTGTTGAAACGTGTCTTTGTGCTCGTCCAAGGCGGCAGATATTGCACCACCATGAGTGGTCATGGCATTTCAGTATGGCTCCCGGAACAGTGTATGTTCCTGCAACTGAAAATGAGAACCCATCATGATTACATAATTGTCTGCTGAAATTATAGAACTTTCCAGGTGAAGATCCTCTTAATGATAACTCTGCCTGGAATATCCCACGATTTACGCATTGAATTTTCTTGACTGTCACATCCTAGTTCGAAATTGCCAGACCAATTTCCACGGATTCTAGAAAGCTTTAATTCTTACGTAACTTCTGACTTGAGCAGTAATGGATTACGTCTTCCAATGCGTCGCCTGATGCACTTTGAACTGTTGAAAATGTCCTACCATGTACATAACTTTGTTCTCATTAGTGCAACCTACAGAAAATGGCATGAGTACCCAAATAAAGCTAGCATGTTGACATTCGACAGGATTATAGGACTAATCATGCACGACACGTCTTTATTAGAGCAAATTCTGGTATTGATCTCCTTGTTTTCTATGCCGAATTGAACATGACACTGCACGTTTTCAAAAGTACAATATCTCGTACATCAACATGAATGTCCCAAATGCCGTTTATAATGTTCTCCTTGAGCTGTGGGATGGTGTTACCATGATCCTCGTGTAGCTATGGTCATGGAACTCGAGTCTTAAGGTTAATTGGGGGCTAGAGCTTCCACCAGATGGCAGTGGCAGCAACAGCAGGCCCTAACATAGCCCGCTTGTCAGCTCTTTACAGTCAAGAAAAGGGGCAACTATTAAACTGAGGTACAGTACAGGTAAGAATGCAGTAAAATATCGCGGTGAAACTCGGCAGCTGTGGAATTCAGTGAAACAGGGGGGGAAAGCGGAAAATTCCCCATTTTCAGACTTTAATTTTAACATTCAAAATTTTACTTCAGATTTTTTTAAATTTGTTTACAGTGCAATTTCGAATTAATTTTGAAATGCATCGCAATCAATCAAATAAAGACGTTGCTACATTGTAAGCGTGTTTTCGGCTTTTGTTTACCCCCGCTATATACTTAAATAATCGGGGATCCACTGGACCCTCCTTGCCCGGTTACGTTCGTCTTTTACCTTGCCCGGATAAGGGTTAATGTGTTTGACACGAAAATCTATTCCAGTTTCATTCAATGTGCAACAAATACGCAATGCACACTCAGAAGTATAAGTTGCTCTCTATTATGATTGACAAATTACAGGCAGTGAAAGGAACACACGCACCAGAAGTTACAGACGCGACAACACATTCAGTCATCTTGTGGATCATCATGAACCTTCTCCACGTAATCCCCTTTGAGGTGGACGCCACCGCGATTCACACTTGCGGATTGATGCCCTGAACCACAGTGGTTCAGGTCATCGATCCGCAGTTCAGGCATCATCAGTTCAGTCAAAGGTGACTACATGGAGAAGGTTCATGATGATCCACAAGATGACTGAATGTGTTGTCGCGTCTGTAAGTTCTGGTGTATGTGTTCCTTTCACTGCCTGTAATTTGTCAATCATAAGAGAGAAGAACTTGCACTTCTGAGTGTCCATTGCGTATTTGTTGTTACACATTCAAGGAAACTGGATTAGATTTTCGTGGCAAATACATTAAGATTATAGCCAGTCTCGATACTTTTGGTACGCCCCTCGTCATTTCCCCACCTGATATCGCTAGGGTAGGGTTTGGCGCCCCCCTATTGTTGCCCCCCCGAACCCCTCAGCCAAAATACGCCACTGTGGTCACCCCTAGAGTATCTGTGTCTAGCGAGAAAGCATGCATTCCCTTAAGGTTGCGGTATCTCACCTTTATTATTTGATGTATAAGGGCATTGAAAAGAGCACCACCATTCGGAATACGAAAGGGTATGTTGGAAGCAGAAATTCGAGAAAGGTTAGCTCTCCATGTCCAGATAATATCAAATTGCCACAGAAAACCTCTGATATGTAGCTATCTATGAAAGTCCTCTGGAGACTCCTTGAAGGGGAGGAGAGAAACCTACTGTAGATTCTATTGGATTTCAAAGAATAGGCTATATGGATATATAGAATATATTTTGCATCATAGCAACTACTCTCCACTAATGAGCTCCGTGTAGCAAATGGGGATATGCGCTTGGTCACAATATCGTATCCACATGTAAAGGATGTGAATACTTTTTATGCTTAATCTCCTTCATATGAGAGGCAGACGCACTCTGTGGACGGATTGATACGCTCTTAATTTTTTCGAAAGTTGCTTAGAAATGGGATGACGTGAGATTCATTCCAGTGGCATCAGAGAAGAGTCTTAAGGAATCGGCAGCTAGACGTCATCTCACATAATTTGATCGTGTTGCGTTAGTCCTTTCTGTAAGAAAAATATATGGAACAAAAGAAAAGTTCAATTTCTCCACATTACCCTAATGTCCACTTTGTACTACAGACTTTCCAAGATATCATGCATATATTTTCTGGAACTCTCTTCTGCAGACATTTTTATCCCATTTTGAACGGGATTTCCCAGTGAAATCACAGGGAATGTCAATATTGTTGGCTGAAGAATTTATATTAGAATTTGAAATGTTACTCTGGAAAGGGGAACCTTCAAACTTTTCTAAACTTTCACTGCAGTTTTCATAAATTTTCTGTTCTCCTACATCTTGGAATTTTAAGACTTTCACAGCAAGTTACAAACAACTGCACAGAGAAATCAGATTGAACATTCATTTTCATACTGATAAACTGAATTGGTTGCCACGAATGGAAACAAATGAATGACTGAAGATGACCTGAAAGCATTCCCTGGGCAATGTCGTCTTAGTACACAAGAATGGAATCTGTAAGAGTTGTCGGACCAATCCTCGACACCCTGGCAAAGACGCCAATCTACTCTGCTGAGAAAACCAGTTGGATCAATGCGTAAATTTCACTCAATCCTGCAGGATTACCTTAAATAGAGAACAAATAATTCAGCTGTTGATCAAAATACCTTCCAAGAAATTATTGGCATCCTCTCTGTCCATGTGAGCGAGTGCCTGGAGGAAAATGGGGAAGTATATTTGCGGATTTTTTGAAAAGAGGATGATGAAGAGCACATCATATTGCAGCTTCAGGTCTCGTATTTCACGAATCTGCTTCTCCTCCATGTGGGTGAGGACGCTCTTCACTTCCAACGTTCGAAGCAACTCCAGTGTATCCACGGTATATTTATCCCGTAGCTCCAATAGCTTAGTTTTGATCTTGTCCCATGTGCCCGCATCATTTTTCGTCTGTGAAGGAGGGACAAGTAATTTCATTACAATTTATAGCATATGTTCGCCATAAAAGCTCTCCCTATAGTGTTCCTTTACTTACACAATATGAAAACGAATGGAAGAGCTTTCAATTAAGGGAGACTACTTTTCTTGCACTGGATTCGTATAACTTTATTTAGAATTATGATATGGTGTAAACGAATAGTTAACTTCTGCTTTTCAAACTGCCGAGTTTTACTGTCACCTATAGAGTAGTTAATGCAAAAAATAGGGAAATTTTGCAAGAAAATCAGAAAATACTGCGGTTGATTATATAATTTCTATTAAAAAACTGGCAGACATAATAAAATGCAATTGTCGATGTGACGAAATATGTCATTAGTCGGGTAACTACGGCTAAAACATTCAAGTCAGTACGGAGCGCACTCCACAGGACGGTTGACTGCAACATTTCGATGGCAATACATGTTGCCTGTTTTGTGGGTTGGGAAACAGCTGCATCAACATTTAAGTGGCAAGCAAATGTCGGCAATGTAATTTCACAGTGTAGATATTTACGAGAAATACACATCAAACACATTTTAAAACTACTAATTGAATGTAAATTTCGTTAGCCACCATTACAGTTACAGAATAAACTTTGCCAATTTCCTTGCCTTCGAAGCATTTTTACGCCGAAGGTTACTTATGGGTAAATTCAAAATTCAACCAGTATCTCAAATATTCAAGGGAAGATGAATACTTCTATTGTGACCAGGATGGTGCTAATTGAATTATCGTGGGAGAGTGAAACCAGAAACAATGAATACATCGTGCTGAAGATGCATTCAAACTTTTGGGCGATTGTGTGAAGTTCCTAATTTACTTGCTATGAAAAGAAGCCTCCTGAAAAAAAAGCAAGGAAGCACTTTGCTCATAGTTTACCTATGTAAAATTGAGCATAAATTAACGTGGTACGCTTTTTTAAACAGAAATTGTTAAATCTCTACATAGACCACCGATGCACATTGACGGATAATTATGAAGATTCGCAGTGACGTTGACAGTCAGGTTTTAATGTGCCTATACTGAATGGTACATTTTCCCTTCACACTCCGACATCAAAGCCCACGACCTTTTTAAACCTCTCAGTATTCGAATGCATAGCACGCTTGAAGCTCGTTCTTGCAATACCTTCTGAATGGAAAGAGAAATCAACTTACCGAAGGAACTTCGAGTTGGACCCTTGTTGCACGTCATGCCGGCGACGAATCTCCCTGCCATTCTTTGTGACGATAGAAATAGGGACATGATATACAAGACCACAAAGGTAGAGTGATGTATTCTCCCAACTCGATGTAGACTTAATGAGAGTTGGAAATGACGTACGTATCAAATGAAATGCCCCCATGTTCCTCTTATCTAACCTCATTTACGGATGGCTTTGAAGTCTTTGATTTGTATTGCGCGTGATGAATCCGGCATCCCTTTTTAAGACGTGTTTTCATTGAAGAATCAAGCACCAGCTTTTGTCATTCAAAATAAGAAAACAAGGGTTTGTTTTGGAGGAACATGATGCGCTCTCTTTATCTCTTTCTGGTTGTTTCCGCGGGAGTAAACTTTCCATGGAGATGGGACAAGACAGAAACAGCGACAAGGTCCTCAATGGATAAGTCGATTTGTGCAAACTGGATGAAAATGACAAGAGAGAGTTTCGGGCCTTCTTGCAGGTGAAGAATATCCTCATAATTTAAATGATAGGTTATTCTTAAAAAGAGAAGAAAAGGGTAGCACTGCTATTTCCGACTGTTTCACGATCACCTTTTATTAAAACACCAAGCTAAGGTCCATTGAGGTTAAGTTCAGCATATTATAAGGAGTTTCTACAGTATGAATTTTCTTTACGTTTGGCAGTAATATGCCCATATTCTGTGGAGTTACCCTATCTCAGGCAGTAAATATTCACTAGACTGCAATAATGCAATGGTTGAACTTCCAGTCCAATAAAAAAAAACGGAAATGTGATACAGTCAACCCTCGATATAGCGCCAGAATCGCCCTAGACGAACAGGGGCAGTATAATAAGAGTTGACTGTACTTCTCATTCTTCAAATGGAATGTACATCACATTTTGCACAAATCGGCTCTACTTCCGAATACATGATGACAGGGAACATGACATGAAACTTTCTCTCTTCATTGCCCTATGTGTCAAAATTTAACATGAGCTATGGCATGCATATCCAGATTTTCATGAGGGCTTTAAGCATAGCTAAAGTTGTTTCCAGTTATATCCCTGATCTTTTCTCATGAATCCATTTTGGTACTAGTAACATGTTTTCCAAGAAGTCATGCACTCCAGAATAAAGTATTATAGATTATGATATCAGCCAAAACGAAAACCACTTACTTTTGCGGACTTCTTTCGCATAAACCTCATCTTCCCTCTCCAGAGTGGCTAGTAATGCCTCTGCCAAGTCTCTGTACTTCGCCTTGAGGCACTCCAATAACGCTAAAAAGGCGTTATCCCCGGCACTGGATATCTTCTTGAGAAGGAACAACACCTGATTCTTTTTCTTCTCCTTGGTCACCTCCATCATCTCGTGATATTCATCGTTCTCGATAATCTTTTTCTTCTTCAGGCATAAGAGGATCTCCTCAAGATCAGTGAATTGTTGCAACGTGTCTTTGTGCTCGTCCAAGGCGGCAGATATTGCACCACCATGAGTGGTCGTGGCGTTTCAGTTTGGCCCCCCGGAACAGTGTTAGTTACCTGTAATCGAAAAAGGGCTCTCATCATGGTTAACATAATTATCTGCTTCATTTAATAAGGGGACATTCCAGATGGAGATTATCTCAATGATATTCTGCTTTGAATATCCCTGATCCCCATATTTAAATGAAACATTTTCTGGGCACTTTCACGTTATGTGTCAAATTCATTATGCTTTTTTCCATGGATTTCAGAGACGTTTACTACTTCAGAATCCAGAATGAGGGAGGGTTTCCCCTACGGAAAAAACCTATAGAATCCTAAGATATTTTTTAAACATAAAAATCCTATGATTCCTATATAAATCCAATGAAAATTGTATGTTTAAAAAAATCCCATAGGATCATATAGGATCTTTTCACAAGGGCTATTCTATACACTGTGTTGCTTGCTGCATTTTCAACCATGGAAAATACCCTACCATGTTCCCTACGTCAAATGTAGGGATTGGTGCGTTTTCACTCACCAGGCTTTATCCACACATATAATACACAGTTTACCGAATCACCTAACCATGAAGGAGAAATCGTTTGAAGGTGAGAGTCGTTTCATATTGATTGTCATGGTCTGAAGCTTTGCACAAACAAATATAATGTGCTAATTGATTAATTAATTTTTAAAAAGTTAATTAATTTGTTTCCTTGATGGTACCTTTTCAGTGTTCTCTCCTGAATCGGACTAGGCAGTCTCTTCGATCCCAATGATGTCTTTTACCTCTGATTGGTAATTGCATTTTTCTTGTTGCTAATTAACAATTATCCATAAGGGAAATACTTCCGACCCCCCGAATGGTGCATGTGATATATCAATCACAAGCTCTTGATGAGTGTTTGCATTAGTGCATATTTTAGCAGCGAAATATGAGAAAATAAGTAGTAATTTTTAATGTGTAGTCACGTTGAACCATCGCGTAGAGAGTGGAACTAGAAGCTACACTTGAAGGGGTTGGAGAAGGTCGAAATATAATTTTCTAATGCAGAGTTCAATCTCATTCTTGTAAGGCGTGGAGGGCGGTGAACATTCTGCATCACTTCACACAGTTACAACATATCGAAGGATTTCGTGGCGTTTGGGACTCCTTTCGTGCAAGTCCATGTGACCCATGTGCATTTTTATCATTCATAATGATTGTGTTGGTGCAAACTGAAATGCTTTAAAAAGTTCCTAGAGCGAATATTTGATGGCTCTTGAATGATTTCCGTGTTCTTGGCTTGACTAGAAAATAATGAAGAAGAAAATAATGAATGAGTCTTGTCTTTTTTTTAAATTACTCTTACGATAAATAAATTGATGCACAAACTCAATGAAAAAATGATCTAATAATTACTTTAAGCATGATTGAAGGCTTCTCTTGAAAAGAAATGTCAATTTTTTCTCATTGTAGATTCGGTTTCTTAATTGATCTTTTTTCATCATTCTTGATGAATAAAATCGATGCTCTTCAAGGAGCCATTCTATTGTGTTGTGCGAAAAAAGAAGGACCGAAGGGAAAAGGTACCAAATGGCACCAATTCACTTTGGTCTGAAGCATGCGCACAATCGTGCTCTGAACGGAAGGTAATAGGTGCTCTTTGGCATTAATTCCCCTCAGTGAAAAGCATAGCGTCGTGTGTATTGGATTTCCGTCGCAACAAAATGGACTGGGTTGGTTTCGAGTTATATGGAGAACTTTCAAGATGAACTCCCAAACGCCTTGACTTTCTTCTGTTCTTGAAATTCCCGTAATGTCGTAGAGCGTAAAGTAGTCGATTTTGGGGTTTTTCTGAATAATGCGAGAATAGAATGCATCGAGATGGTATCTGTGACATTTGATATGGGTTATGACAGTTTTTGGCCAGGAGACAAAACGAAATCCCAAGTATGCCTGAATGATTCAAATACGTTGATACGTGGTATATGGCTAATTGAAAATTTTCATTTCTGAATTTAAACTTATTATTGTGTTTAATGTCAGTATGTCAGTCTCTCCCTCACTTGCTAACGGATTCCTGTATAGGGGACAGGGAGAAGTAACCTATGAGATTACTATTTTCTTTCCCTGTAAACTTTATGAATGCCAATGAGTCTCATTTAGAGGAAGCAGATACGTGGGTAATGTTTTTTATTTTATTTAAAAACAGCATAATTTCAGAGTCCCAGTCACATCACCGATGCTTGGTTAGCAGAAAGAAAAAGAGACAACAATTGAGTTCCGCACGCAAGTAGTGTTGCATTACTTAGAATTAATAACGGCATATTGGCTCAATTTCATAAGGGAAGACATATTTCACCATTGTTCTTCGGAACTTGTGAAGTTATAACTTGAGAACTACTTTTCTAAGGTTTCCTCTCTCCTCATTCTTTCCATTTTCTGAATGAATCATCAAAAACCACCACGGTGATAGTAAGTTGTGAGCAATCAGATGAGACGTCGGGATTGTGTAGGTATTGGCCTTACTCAAACGCCGCCTTCATGGCAAGCCTAGCCTTACCGTTTTTACGCCATAAGAATTTCCGGATGGTGAGTCCACTTCGTGGTCTTCTAGGCATTTCCGTACACGATGTAAGGTTAGGCATATGCTAGGCCTATCTCAAGTCTCCAGAATAAACTAATAAAGTATGCCTGTGGACAGACTTCCTCCAAATGATTGTCGGACATTGCCCTGACATCCATTTGCATGGATGTCAGGGCACAGTGCTCTTACTCTGCAAATAATTATTACTCTACACGACATTGTCCGCCTGTCGCAAACCACAATTTAAATATAATCTCATTCTCAACCACAGAACTTTCAGAAGCAGCACGGCGGCCTACCAACGTCGACTTTTATCGTCGGTTGGCAGTGAAATGGTAAATAGCTTAGCCCGCACACGCTCCCCTGATTCAACAGCAGAAGACACAGGCACCGGCACGAGGAAGAAACAGAAGCGGCCATTAATCCGACAGAACTCGAACGCGATATTCGGCATCCGTGGTGGACGAGAACGGCGCCGGCGCGAAAAGAGACCGTTAATATTACATTCCTCGAGGAAATCGTCCCAACCGCCAACAACGGAAGTGCCACTAGCTTGACACCTCGCCATATATGTTCATATCTGTAAGATAACCCAGCTAATCTAATCGGTAAACTCTCATGGAGTGGTTTCTGAGGATGGAAAAAGAGAGCGAAGGTGGGAGGGGAGGGAGGGCACCGTGACTCATGCTCTGAAGGCCATCCTCTTTTCTTCCCAACCAGGGGGAAATATAGCTTATAGAGTGACTTTGCGTACAGAGGGTGAAATGAATGCCCATTTTCTTTCTCCCAAATTCTCTGAGAGGAATACGAGGGGGTGGAATTTTGCAACAGGAAAAGATTGAAGAAAAAGAAGGAAGTGAATGCTTAGGCCTACTGACAGGAATCAACCAGTATGCTTAGCTAGCGGGTAAACCGAGGCATGCGTGACAAAAAGAGAGACGAGAGTAACCTGTTTCTTCTCTACACAAGACACAGAGTTATGGCAGGCACAGAGGAACAGATGAGGGAGACGTCATTCCGCTCCGGCAATACATATGACGTGAATGGGGATGGGGGAATGGCAGGCTATCATGAATCAAGGACAGCAAGGAGACATCTGTTGAGTTCTACTGGATACATTAGTCGAGCGGAGACAGGAAAGATGTGCCCAGCTGAATACGTCATCCTTCGAATGTGCACGTGGAAAGGCATCGTCCATAAGCGCTCATTTTTTCGAATGCTTGAAACATTTACAGTACGAAATTAAAGAAAATTTTAATTGAATTAAAAGTTATTTCATTTTAAAGTCAATTAAATGCTCTCACCAATGATTAATTCCATATTATTCTACCCTTACCAGCCCTGAAATATAAGCTGTACAATTCGAAGAGGTTTTTTTTTTTTGCCCACCCTATACACACGGATTTCTCCGTGTTTCCTTGCAATTACAGTGAGCAAAGGAAAGAAAATATGAGAATTAAATGCAAGGAAGAAAGCGGGAGTGTGGATGGGACTGACAGCTCGATAGGTGAGAAAGAAATCCAGTCACGTGTCACCCGCTTCGCTGAAAAGTGCCAAATTTGCATTTTCCCATCGTCATTCCCTTAGCATGTTCATTTCTCCCCTCCGCCTTGGCTGTCATGTGTTCATGTGTTCGGACGTGCCACGCCAAATGCGGCTTCAGTGAACGAACTTGAAAGTGCCACACTGTGCTTACCTAATTGCCTATTCACTAACGTCCGCTTGTGTTTAGCAGCATCAGTGGCTCCTCGACGAAGGCATCGTGTGTCCGGGCTTCTCCTCTTCCCATTAACGATCATATCATGGGCCTCATATCATGGAACGCCATAGCTTCTCACTCGAGCAATTAAAACTCCTCGAGTGTCTCTCGTCCGTTTGTCTCTCGACCACCGCATCATTTTGTGCAACGCGGTCCAAAATCTATTAACCTTCCAGGAACAATTTTGGCGGTAAGAGAATGCGAAACTCCGCCGAGCGGATTACATTTGAAGCAAAAATGAGCGGCATCGCAATTCATATGCAAAATTTTTGTTAATTATACCGTATGTGGCAAATTGAGCATTGTTTTGGTCGCAATTACGTGTAATTTTCAACGAATGAAATAATGTATTTATATTGTTCCTTGGGCAACCTGTATCATAATATTATTTCCTATAAGGCATATTTAGTTTTTTTAATCATGTATTTTTCTTCATAATAGAAACATTGTGCTCCTGAAAAGTTGCAATCTTTAAGAAATAAACGCGCGCAATAACTAGACATGAGGCAGTTTACTATTTTAAAAACGCCTGTACATGAAAGGAATGAGAGACAAAAAAAATGGAAGACATCGGAACGAACAGATGGGTTTTGCGTGTCTGCTGTGACAGATGATTAGGTAAATTGTATCAATGCCTCAAGATTACGCCACGAGCTGTCGATGACCGGCAGTTAGAAATGAGGAGAGAAGGAAATTTAATCGCTTCCGCATCGCCCATCGTCGGTTAGTACGCGTGTGCTTGACGGCGAGCGGCATCCATCATGCGTACAAGCCGAGCTGTCGCAAATATGAAGCTGACTCAGGCTCACGGGATACTTTCGCGTCCGCATAATTTTCTATTCATCTAAGGTTGGGAGGAACCGTTTCTGCGGCTCTAAGTGAATCACGAGATGATATGACTTCAAGTGTGCCAAAATGCGAATGATTGATGCTCCACCACCAGATAATTCGTAGAGATTTTTCAAAGAAAAGGGCCGATTCAGAACAGAAAACAGCCGATACATAGTGGCATTTTAAAATTTGCCTTCGAAGAAAAAAAAAATACTTCCAGTCCTATAAATGCATATTCATATTTTCCGCTAAATGTGGGTAAACGTGGGTTGGTATTGCAAATGAAACCTTGAGAGAATCCTCGTAAGTCAAGTAATGTCTGACTGATTTGACTAATATCTAAATCCCCTGCGGATAAATAAAAATATTTCCGAAATTGTAATATGTTCCAAAACGTTTATAATTTGAACCCCACCATTGTTCCTGTGGGAATCGAAACACCTGCATAGAATTTACTTTATTTTTTTAAACCCAGCTTTTGAAGCCATTTTAAGGTTCATGGTCATGATAACTAATGTTGTAGTAATCGAATTTCTTTGCTAGTTAAAGTTGTGCAAGTTAAACTGTCGTCTTTCTCGATCTTTGACATCCTTCTCTGCGTGTGAACCATACTAGAGGGTTGAAATTTTCAATTGCAGAAAGTGTAGTTGAGGCAGTTTCATAGGTGCTAGAAGGCGAAAGGCGTTTTCGTCTGCACGCTTGAAATACTTAGATATGGTTTTTAAGTCACCCACCACAAATATGGCTATGGTTTATGCTTCACTATTTCATAACTCAAAAGATATTGGCTTGTAGAAAAAAAGACTTCCGAGACGGACGACCACAAAAGCCGATATATGTATCAAAAGGAGAAAACATTTTTATGGGTTTTAATTTCTACAATGGGAAAGCATTGTCTGCCCCCCCCCCCCCCAATCAAATTCTAATTTCTAGTATTTCTAGTCCCGGAGGTTTCCGTGACTGCTCTATTTAAAGCTTAAAAAGAGTGACACAATCCATGAGATATTGCATCGAATAAATATAGTTCTAGATGTGTATTATTTTCGATAGTTTGGGAAGTATTTAAACTTATAGCAAAATGTAGACACTTTTGGGGACAACTTTCGAGGAAGTGCTGTTCGTGTCAAACAATGAATTGAGTATATTTTAATCCTTCTTCATCAGACTTCACTAGGGGCCATTAGCGCAGAGCGAATGCTCATACTTCAAGGTGTCCCATAAGTCACTATACCATTTCAAACTGCAATATTT